AGCAAGTATAATTGAAACACATCAAACCACTTGAACACATTAAACATTAAACAAACAACCTTCGTCATATGATCTGCATACTTCTCTCCTAGCTACTAATCCTCTAGTAACAAGTTGCAACATCACATTAAAACTATCCACAACAGCGAGTATTATTCTTCAAGCATAGCCCTGTTGCTATTTATGAAATAGTTTCAGCAACCTTTTGTTCCTTCTCACTAACAGAGCACACTCAACTGAATTTATCTACCACTCATACAAAGAAAAAGCACAACCATTCACCTTATTCTTGATCCAAAAAATGTTTTAATTAGCTTGTACCATATCCAATAATCTTTCCCTCATGTTGCCATCATTATTAAACACCTTAGCATTTCTCCAATGCCACAAATACCCTGAAACAACTAGAAAAAAACAAGCACCCATCTCCTTCCCTACCATCCTCCCCAAACCATGTATAAAAAAGTCTGCCACACTGACCACATTGTTAGACATAACAATCTCCAAACCCCACCAATGCAACACACCCCTACCCAAACTATCCACGCTTCCTTACACATACAAAATAAATAGTTAGCTTCTTCTACCATTTCATTACATAGACCACACCTTAAATCCTCGTCCTGTAGAGTCACCCCTCATTTTCATAAATTCCACTTAGTTGGAAGCCTATCAAGACAAAATCTCCACCCAAAAAATGCCATTTTGGAAGGTACTAACCTACACTTAAAAAAAAAATCATTAAACAAAATTTAAAAAAATCTTCAAAACTTTTGACCATTGAAATCATTAAATGCTTCATCACAAATGGTTGCAAAAGTTTAAGTCGGCTTGGCACTTTGTAATTCCCACACGTGCCAAAGCTACACTGTTAAATTTCTAATAGCTAAGCCATCTTTAAAGCCAAAGCTGACACTTTTTTAACATTTTGAACTTAATTTGCTCTTTCATCCAACTTTAAGAGCCAAATGCATTTTCCTGTTGTAACCTATTGGTGGTTACTGCAGTTCAATAGAATTGTTGGTGGATTGCATCATTGATTAGTATTCGAACTTTTGCCAAGAGCAGATCCTAACCTAACTTCTAATCATTTTCTCTGTCAAAAAAAAAAAAAAAAGAGCCAATATCTTTCTCTTCCGCACTTCGTTTTTGGGCATTCTTGTTGAAAAGCTTATTAAGCCAGGTCAATGGTATCATATGCTAACCATTAATGAGGTGGGAAAAAAAAGAGTTGAAGTGGTATGTTGTAATTAGTCCATCATACAACTGATGTGATATCCTCAAACACAACAAGCTTTTTTGTGGAGGTGACATGGTAAATTTTGATGAAGGGCAAGCACGTGATTTTTTAATGTTAAATTGCTGTTAAAGTCTCAAACCATTGGGGTTAAGGGGCTTAAACTTGCAACTTTATAGTATGAGGAAATTCACGGCTAAACTTAAAAAGTCTAGGTGCTATTTTGATATTTTTGCTCTTGATCTCATTTTTCTACTGGGATGGTGACGTAAATTAAATGAATCGTTCGACTGAATTTTTACTACTG